CCATTCTGTTTTGATTAGAATGTTCCGCAGAATGGCTTTTCATCCAAATTCCTCCACCCCTGTGGTCTGATAACAAACAGTGAAGTAAAGGCTTTTTGACAGACCAGAAAAAGAACCTGTATGTGGATATAATATTGGAAGAACAAATGAACCTCTTTGAAGTGTGGCATTTTACTCTCTCTCTCTCTCTCTCTCTCTCTCTCTTTTTTTTTTTTTTTATGCTGGATGAACTTCCTACAGGTGTGCCTTGCCTATAAAACACAACAGTATGCGCTCCGTTGGTTTGAACTGGAGACCCTCTTGCTATAGATCAGGGCTCATCAAACTAACTGAGGCTACGTTCAGACTGCAGGGCTTAACGCTGAATTCCGATATTTTTGTGAAATCTGATGTTTTTGCGAGGTCGTTCACATTTCCAATTAAATGTAACTTGTATGTGACTCCAGTGTGAACATTAAACAGCCCAAAAGTGTCCCGTATGCACACTGGAGACACGCCGACGTCAACCGCAGCGAGCGTGCTCTGTGTTTATGGAAGTTGTCCAAACATGGACGCGAGCATTGAGCACCTGGAGATTTTAAAGTTCCTCTCGTACCGGAGCCAAAACATGAACAACTTTTTTAAGGAGGAGATTGAGAAGGAGAAGGACGAGGTTTTGGTCGTGGTGTTTTGTGGGGCAGCGGCAGCGACGTCCGTTGAAAGGAACGTGTGGATGTGGAGACGTAGCCAAGAGTGGTGAGTGGTGATGTGCTTCACTTCATTGACACGGAGTTCATTAACAATTTTCGCCTACTTGTGACGAATAGTGCAGAATAGTGACGTTTGTGGCTTGTTGATAACGTGTAGGTGGATGAATGCACTTTGGCCGTTCAGACTGAAGTCGCATGTCAAAAGATCAGATATGTGTCGGTTTTAGGAGCACATATCCAAGTGGCCTGGGTCACATTTGAAAAAATCGGATCTGTGTCGTTCAGACTGTCATTAAAAGATCAGATACAGGTCACATAGAAGCCAAAAAATCAGATTTGGGTCACTTCAGGCTGCAGTCTGAACGCAGCCTAACTAACTACTAACTAATTATATGGCATATTTACATTTGCCGCCAAATTTGTTGTCGAATTTTCATCACCTGACAAGCTCGAGATTAAACAGTGACAGTCAACACACGCGTGAGTTTTGTAGTGCAGTTAAGAACAGCAAAATGGCGAGTACAAAGTATGAAAATTTGTCAGAGCTTTGAGAGCGCTGAGTTTTCAAAGAACAGTGGACAACCAATTACTTTTTTTGTTCAGTGTGAGGAGCATGCAGTTTGTCTGATATGTAAAGAAAGTGTGGTGGTTTTCAAAGAATATAATCTGCGTCGTCAGGGTCATACATTTCTGTTATACGACTGACCCGACCCCGGCCCCCGTCACAGTCAGGAGCCATAATGTGACCCCCAGAGAAAAAAAAGTTTGGTGATTCCTGCTATAGATAAACACTAACTACTCACTCTGACATATTAAAACCAATATAAAACAAATGACACTAAAAAGTGATAGATTTCTTCTGGAGTAAAAAGTACAGATACATATCCAGTATACCGAAGTGTGAGGAGAGTGACATGCAGATTTGGAGACTTAAAGGAATGCTGGTTTAGTAAGTTAGTCTTAGCTACATGTTGTCTCTAATAAATGCATTCATCATTCACATTTAACCTGGATAATGTCAAATCTATATGGCTGAATTTAACATGCACGTTTAAATCTAGAGTTTAATAATCCCTACAGTTAAAGGGCCCATATTACACTATTTTCTGATCTACAGTATGTTACAGTCAGTTTTAGTAAGGTGACTTTTAAAATGTATTCCCTTGCAGATTACAGATTACATACCCCAAAATGTAGTTTGTAACGTAATCTTTTAAATTACTTAAAGTGAGTAATGTAATCTGAATACTTTGGATTACTTGATTTGCTGTAGAGAAGCAAAGACTAGGATATCTTGGATATGTTTTGTCTGCTAAAAGACAATAAAAAGCCCAGACTTTATTTAACCGTATTAAAAATATTATTGATAGAAGAAGAGGAGACATGGTCCGTGCAGCATGGTTTAGTCCTGGTTTAGTTCTGGTTTAGACCTAGTTTAGACCTGGTTTAGACCTGGTTTGGACCTAGTTTAGACCTGGTTTAGACCTGGTTTAGTCCTGGTATAGACCTAGTTTAGACCTGGTTTTAGACCTAGTTTAGACCTGGTTTAGATCTGGTTTTAGACCTGGTTTTAGTCCTGGTTTAGACCTGGTTTAGTCCTGGTTTAGACCTAGTTTAGACCTGGTTTTAGACCTGGTTTGGACCTGGGTTTAGACCTGGTTTAGTGTCTGGCAATGAGTGGAATTACCGAAAAAAAAAAAAAAAAAAAAAAAAAAAAAAAAAAAAAGGATATAGCCCAAAATGTGAAACAGGAAAATACCACCCTGTAATCCATTTATTTGAACAAAGTAACTGTAATCCAATTACCACTCACTGAAACTGTAACTGTAACCAAATACAGTTACTCATAATTTGTACTCTGATTACATAAACTTCAGTACATGTAATCTGTTACTCCTCAACACTGGTCACAGTTTGCTGGAGTTGTGTTTTGTTTCATTCACACATTTTGAATGAACACACAAACCCTGCATATATAGCATGAGTTTTTCTCTTAAACAGAAAACACTCTGTTCCACCTTATGATGTCATGTAGTAATACAGGAAGTGCACCACTGTGTTTTTAAACTACACACATCTTCACTAGACTCATTTTGATCATTTCAGCCCTGGAATTGCCAATCTTTACTGAACTAAAGGTAAAAGGAGCTGTTAACTTGACAAGTACCACGTCGTGACAAGATATAAAATCACCTGTAATTGAATAAATAGAGCTGTTTAATGTCACACTGTGGAACATTCCAAGCAGAGACATAGAAACAAGCAGGTTAAAGCTCACAAGAGTCTTTCACGTCATTTTTGCACCGTCGCACAGGGCTGGTTTTTCTAAAAATTAAAAAGGATAAAATTCAATCTAAAAAGGCCTGGATCTCTCCCGTAAGTGTAAAGAAAAAACAATAAAAGAAAAAGTTTATGTACTCACCCTCGCTTATGAATATTTAAAACCATAATATAGGAGTTTGGAGGCATTTAAAAGTCTCCAAATGCTTTTTAAAACGAAATACATAAAAGTGAAATGTGCCAAATTTAAATGCAGTAATCTTGCACAATTGCGCTATAAATCCTGCTATAATGTATGTGTACTTTGGGCATTAAGACAAATTATACACAGTAGAAAGCCGCAGCGAAAATAAAACTTCATATTTAAAACGAGCAGAGTCTTCATGTAATCCCCATACGAAACTAAATTATATATGAAGAAATGTTTTTTATTTCTATACTCACACATTACTCACTGAAATAATGTAAGGCCAATAACTTGAGGCGTATGAAGGTTTATGTATTTAATTATAAGAATAGAAATGTTAAAAGTGCGGTACATCATTTTTACTTTCTTAAAAAAACATGAAAAACAGAACTAGAATTTTAAAAGGTTTGCAGTGGTCTAAAGTTGTTCCTCACTTACCTTATGTATTCAGAGTGTCCTAATTCTTCACTGTGATGGGTTTATAAGAGCTTTTCACAACAAAAATGTGCATGCTAAGGCGCACTTCCTGATTATCTGACAGTAAAACAGTCAGTGGTAGAAGGTAATGAAGTGCAAACATAAAAATACAATTCTTCAGTACAAATTTTAGGTATCTGTACGTTTTACAGTGGATACTTTTTCCTTTTACTTCACTACATTTGAGAGCAGATATCTGTGCTTCATACTCCACTACATTTTAGATCTAGACTGAAAAGTAAAAAGTGCTTTTCTTTAAGGTGTAAAAGCTGCTGAAATGGCTGAGATTTAGGTTATGTTTACACTGAAACGAATCACCGTATCACTGTTATCAGAAACTATTTGTGTCCAGACACGTCGTTTCTGTGTCTGCAAGCCTTCCCTATCCACACAACTTTGAGCATATTTGTTTATGCTTTACACAAATGACACTTAAAACCACATGGTTAATTCAAATAAACTAAGTGCTGAAAAAACAGCTCGCTCCTTGTGTGTGGTCAGCGTCTATCAGATTTAAAAAGGACACGACTCATTGGAATATTTGTGTTCTTTCTGTGACAGAGGGTTGTTCTGCTAATGGTGAGTCTGTTCTGTGCAAGTAGTTTTAGCTACGCTGTTTCCCATTTGTTTAAACTGTTTTCCGCAATAGTGTCACATGACCGATGTCACAAACCCAGCGAATCAGGAAGGTGCAAGTCACAGTGACATGGTCCAATAAGGACGCAACTAGAGTTCCTACGTCAGTGTATCAGAGTTTTCAGGCGTCCACACAGTGCTGGATCAGATCTGTACTCAGATGACTTCGTGGGAGCTGGCAGCACCAGATCGTTCCGTCTCTGGAGCCGTTTTCTATCAGATTAGTGTGAACGAACACTGCATCCACAACGAAAATGACCAAATACGAACTAGAGTGGATGTGATGTTATTTAGGACATTTAATTTGAGTTAACGTCCCAAATTTGAGCAAACCAAATAACACAAAAATGGCTAGAAAAAATAAGAAATCAATTGAATCACTAAAATCAGCCAAATTCTTGACCAAAATCACTACATTTCCTTAAATTGTTCTAAAAATCTCTGTTAAATACTTTCACTTTTTACTCTTTAAGTACATGTAACATGTACTTTAACAGTTTTGCTTAAGTAGTTTTTCTCAGGTGATAGTTTTATTTTAGTACTTTTCTACTTTGTATCTGTACTTGTAAGTAACAAAATTGAGTACACATTTAATAATAGATAACCATAATGATATAAATTATACAAATATCAGATAAAGTATGTTTAATATTTAATGGTGAACTTATTTTGTTGTTCTACATGATTCATTGTTCCTTGTGCATATGTATACAGCAGCACATGATCCATACCTCCGTGGTTCATCCCTCCATCCCTGCGGTCTGATGGCGAACAGAGCCTTGGGCAGTCCCTCCAGCCCCAGGCCGGACAGGGCCGGTCCCACTGCGAACCACATGTAACTGGGCCCCGCCTGCCCCGCCGCCCACGCCGCCTTGAAGATAAGCTCCGCCTCCTCCAGCGAGCAGTACAGCAGACGCACCTGCACACACACAGAAGAGAGAGAGAGAGGTTAGATATCTGTATCCATGACAACACTAACATTAGAGAGATAAGCATTGAAATGGCTCGTGGCACTACAAACTAAATTAAAGAACACATATTGGACTTGAACCTGCTATATATTATGTTATAACGGTGTGTTTGATTATCCATCCAACTTGGAGGTCTGAGGACATTGAATATCAACACGCACTGATACACCCCTTTAACTGGGACGATGCAGTTCGGAACTCGGAAGGACTTAGAGGAGACCAAGCCAGGTTTCTGAGATAGAATCCACGATGGGTGTGCCCAGTGTCACTTGCTGTATGAAGTGTTTTCATTGTGTTTGGACACTTTGGTGGTTTAAATGACAATTTCAGTCACTCGTATTACTGCAATACCTTACTGCGTCTGTATCACTGCCTATGGTATGTAGTACTACTGCAATACCTTACTGCATCTGTATCACTGCCTATGGTATGGTAGTACTACTGCAATACCTTACTGCGTCTGTATCACTGCCTATGGTATGGTAGTACTACTGCAATACCTTACTGCATCTGTATCACTGCCTATGGTATGGTAGTACTACTGCAATACCTTACTGCGTCTGTATTACTTCATATGGGGATGGTAGTACTACTGCAATACCTTACTGCATCTGTATCACTGCCTATGGTATGGTAGTACTACTGCAATACTGCCTCTTACTGCATCTGTATTACTGCCTATGGTATGGTAGTACTACTGCAATACCTTACTGTGTCTGTATTACTGCATATGGGGATGGTAGTCGGTGTTTCCCATGTTTTCAGCCCATTTCCTACCAGTTAAAGTGCCAAAATGATCTACAATCGCGCGACACCAACACTTTCACTTCACTAATATACTGAATTATACTATTTATACTGAATTATTCCTCGAGGTTGTGTAATTGAAGCACATACTTATTTTGGAGCATCTGGTACTCGGTCAATCCTAAAGCAACAACAGCTATCCGGTTACTGCTTTATTCTCCAAGTCAGACACACGAAACATAAAAAACATAATAAAACGTTGTGGAAAAGTGTGGACGTGACATCATATCCGTGTGGAAGACAGATGGATAAACGAATGCAGCATTATTTGCACATTTTAAATCGCGATATTCATTTACAACAAGTTAATAAAAGGAAAGTCCATATACTGTGGTGCCCAGTGGGAGCTGACGTCTGCTGATTTGTTGTCATTTGTACCAAAATAACTACGTGGCACTGCTGAATACTACTTAGAGCACCGATTAAGAAAATAAAACTTGAGAATGAAGTTAGTACAGAGCCGTGGGTGTGTACTGAGGGTAGTGAAAACGGGCAAATCGGCAAAATGGTGTCTTGAAAATAAGCGATTAAAGACTGTCAGACGTGCAAGGATCACTCCAAATGCAACTTCACAGGATAAATGAGAAGAGGAGACAACTATAACATCGGCGAAAGCTCTAAAAAGTCAATTCCGAATAATAGGTCTGCTTTAAAGACAACAGAGCCTTCAGTGCAGAGACAGGTGTTCTGATGGGAGTGGGAATGAAACACTACTTGAATCTGTCTCATTTAGATAGCGATGCTGATAACGAGGGCATTATGGGACTGGGTTTGTGTCCGCTCGTCACTCACTCTGTCACACCTCCAGCCAGGCTCAAACTCAGCTCTCCAATCAGATCCAATCAGACACATTTGAAACGAACGAGCTCACCGGTCATCTATCATTCTGGACAAATTACTTTTCTCACACCTCACATTAACAGTTTTGTGCTTCGCTCATTGATTCTGCAGAAATCCGTGACGTTTTCAGTCCCTTGTGATATTTTCCCCTTTCTTTTTTCCTCATAAGCAGCCGTATTTGTTTTGATACAGTTGGACCATGCATGTCCCTGATTGGCTAATACACCTGCCAATCATACTGGTGTATACTTTGTAAAGTATTAAAGTAACTAAGTGTGTATTCTGTATTATAGGCAATCGCAGTGTAACTTGGTGGAGAGTTTTACACCTGCTTGTTTCCATGGAGATGTTATTGCTTTGTCTGACAGCAGTCCACCAGGCCAATGTACAGGTCAGATCTGTGGAGAGGCAAGTCCGCTCACAGCGTAGACTGTATAAAGAAGTCGACTAAGGGAGTGTGTCGTAGGCCTGTAATGATAATCAATAAATCAATTACCACATTTTCCAAGCTATTAGACGCGCTCTTAAAGGTTGTATGGACTTTTTATTTTTTTTTCAGTTTCAAATTGTCAATGAAAGTTTAAAATACCAATACAGAGATGCAGCAGCTTTGTAATTATGATGACCAAAGAAAATGAAAATCTATCAACTGCTGACGTAGTGAAGCCAGATAAACATCAGCCAATAGACAATGAGGCTCCCTCTTTATCTATTGGCTGTTAGGTTGTCAATCAAGCTCCTTACGTTTCTAATGTAACTGACTCGCCGGCGCTCGGGGATTACAAGGTTTATGCAGTGATTCTTAGAGGCTTTTTCAAACTGTCGCTTCCTCGCAGTTTGCACAAACTTTGTTGCGATGGCGGACGAGAATCCACGACCTGTTCGCAGCAAAAGAAAGTCCGTTTTTGAATTCGCTGAAAGAAGAAGAGAAGGGGAAAAGGAGCGAAGACAAACTGAGGTGATTCTTGGAGATTCCTTCTAGAGAGACAAAGGGTCTAAAAACTGATGCGTCGGTTACTAAATTATTTCTAGACAGGTCACTTTAACAGTAATTCTGGATGTAAACAAGCGTGATTTCTCGAGTAAAGAGGCGGGAGGAGATGTTTCTACTGAGGGAGCTGTGGAGGAGGAAGGTGGTGTCACGCAGGCACAACATTTGAAAAAGGACTGTCGCCGTATTTCACTTCCCTTAAAAAATCCTCTATACAACCTTTAAGCCTCCAACCCCAACCAAAAATGATTGCGCGCCACAATCCAGAGCACCCTATACACGAATGCACTGGGGTGTCCCAGCACGACTTCAGTAAACTACAAAGCCGCACCACCCACAGCGCACGCAAACACACACGGAGCAGACAGCGACCGCACAGTGAAAACACACCCACAGACACACTCATCACTCCACGCCGACGAGGAACGGAACAGAGGAACGAACTGAAAAAGCGAGTGCAATGTGCCACTTCTAGACACAACTGAGTCACCGTGAACACGCCGACAATCCAGCGGTCCCAGACAGCACCCTCCCTACACGCCACAACTGAACAAAGCCCAGAGTCACTGTGAAAGCACCAAACAAAGTTCAACTGACCAATCCAACTGTTGTGTTTCGTTTTAAAGTCGAGTGGGTTTTATTTGTGAAAAAAGTTTAAAAAAAGACCAATGACAGTGTGCCTTATAATCCAGAGCGCCTAATAGCCTGGAAAATACGGTAATCATACAATAACTTTTAAAAGCTCAATAACTTTTCTGGCCACGATAAATTGTGGGTGTGTGAAAGGAGGAATGCTCCGTCATCACGGTTAATGGTGTCCGTGTATCGTTTCCTGATTTTCAGTGGCCTCCCAGATCCAGAGTTTGAAGTTGTCAAAACCAACACTAGTGACAGTTCTGAAGTCTTGCAGCAGCAGCCGAAACATGTCAACAAGGTAAATATACTTTACTGTATTGTCTTAAAAAGAACCCCAGAAGTTAAAGTATATAAGATGACAAAATTAACATCTTTGACTTGTCAATCAAAACTGTTGCTGATGCTAGCGGAAATGACCCGTGTTTCATCTGTTATTAATGTTTATGTGTTGTTTTATGGACAAAATAGTGAAATAAAAACAGCAGGTTCGTGTAGAGCGGATTAATACAAACATTTGTGTGCCCATGCTCACTTCCAATCTGGAACGCCTATGGTTCAAGGTAAGTTTTTTTTTTTCAGGTAATTTGAACAATAAAAATGCCTGTAACTCAATAACTTAACATATGATTGAATTTGTGACAGGACATGGTGAAACATGCTGTAAATAAGATGATATGTGAAGTAGGTGCATGAGAATAATGGGACTACACGTTTGTGAACAGCAAAATACAGAATCACTCAAATTCCTTGTTCACAGTCTGCATTATGCATGAGGCTGTGCTGTATTGGCACTTGATTATGAGGGTGATTACTTATGGCAAGAACAAGAAATATTTGCAGCAACAATCTCGCAAAATAAATTACAACAAAACAAAAAGATGCTACATATCGTATAATGAGTGACTCGTTTTGCATTTGAATTGACTCAGTAAAGCATTTCTCAAGTAAAAACTATTAAACATTTTGAATAAATAGTATGGTTGTCAAAAGTATCAAAAATCAGGCACTAATTGATACTAAAACTACAATCGAAACCAACAGGTATTGATACTAAAAAAGTCACATTCACAGGACAGAAATGAACCTTTCATGAATCACTTTAGAATGATCTTGAGCTGTATCCAGTATTCCCACTCTTTCAAAGACAGAATTTCAAAACTTTTCCATGACTTTTTCTTGACTTTACGGCACCTACATTTGTAGAACTGAGCATACTTTTAGGGCTAAACATGCAATGTTAACCCTTTTGACTCACCTTATGGCATTGTTTCACAAAGAATGGGTTGCGACCCTCAGGTGGGTCACAAGAGATTTTTTTGGGTCTGCAATATGCAATTCTGACACATGTTGAAATGTTAAGACATGTTTTGTATAATTTCTTATTGTTTTGTAATTGTTTTATTGAGTATTTTGTTTCAGTGTTGCTGGTTCAATTGAATTTTGAAAAGAAAAAGAAATGGGCCACATTTAATGTCCAAACGGGCGACTTATGGATCCTTTTATTGCTGCTTCAGTGACTGTTTTTCATTGTTTAAAACTTGAGTAATACTAATCGATCACTCAGTCAACAATAAAATATCCTCATTAATGTTCAGTAATGGTCAACTCCAACTTTATTTTGTGATTTATGAATAATGTCTATTGACTTGGATTGAGAAGGTTTTTGACTTTTAA